AGAGCAGAAAGAGGCAGCAGAGCTCCTGGCAGGATGTATCCAGTCTGCATCATGCCTCTTGGTAACCCCTGCTCTTGCACAACGCTGAGCACTCACTGGGGGCTGACAGGATCCGTTTCCTCCCAGCCCTCTGGGATTGCTGCTGTGCCCAGCTGCCATGGCTGTGACGTGGGGACAGTCTCTGTGGCACTCTGGGGACAGAACGCTGAGTCACTGTCATACCTCAGTGCCTGCCGCATGAGCATCACTTGGGGACAGAGAGGAGCAGCACAGTGGCTGTAACCTCTCACCTGTAGCTAAAACTGGTACCTTGAGCACTGAGATGTGGAACAGAGTTCAGAAGGTGACCAACTGTGTCTCCTGTGTCCAAAAGACCAGGTTGGTTTCTGTGTGGTTCTCTCTGCAGACCAGTGACCCCCCGCTCGTGTCAGCCCTCCTGACTGTGAAAGGTGACATCACAGAATGCTACCGAGTCCTGCTCATGGCAAGAGTTGTGTCTGCAGCTGCTCCCACTGGCTGAGGGGTCCAGGCCAAATGGAAAGAAGATAGAGGTTACTTTTCTGGGAGATCCCTGATCTCTGGTGGAACATGGAGAGATTCTGAGGTTGTTGCAAATAAGTGAGGACAGCAGGGATGTGGGAAGGAAGGGCCATGTAACATTTCTGCTCTATTTTACGCAAAGTTCTCTGTAAACTCTGGTGCCAGTGGCTTGACTTCCAGCTGACTCTGTGACAATAATCTTGTTTAGAGGAAAGAATTACTGAGGGCCCCAAGCAGCTACACCTGCTGTTAATCCCATGTCTCTCAAAAGTGGGCATTCCACCAGGAGGAGTATCTGGTTTACATCCACATAAGTGAGTTTCTATCTTTTTCCAATTTCAGACACTTTTTGTAGGATTTGGAAAAGCCTTGACTTTTTCTAAGACCAGAATAAAGTTTCTTATTCAAGCCTCCTCCAAATCATTTGGGGAGTCACCTTTACAATGTGCAGTCAAATCTGCCTGGTAACATGTGATCAAAGGGAAATATTCCTGTTCCCTGGGTATGGTCAGACACTTGCCAGAGATCCTGGCTGTCCAGGAACTTTGTATTTATGTACTTGCCTTCTGCTGAATTCTGGGTGAGAGCAGAATCCTGCTGTTCTGGGGAAGCCAGAATGCCCTGCAGGTGGAAGTTCTGTCAGGAAGCAGCAGCTGGTTCAGGGCAAGTGCAGAGCTGGAGAATGGAGGGAGCAGGAAGGCAGCAGCCGTTAGACACAGGATAATCCTGTACATCTCTTATCACACTCTTTCCTGAGTCACACAGTCTGTGGCAAAGTTCCCTCCCCACCACTACGAGGGTGTGTTGCCCTTTGGCCCCTGTAGCTGTTAAATCCCTGACTCAGATGATGCAATCAGAAAATAGAAACGTTATTTGTAAATATCCCTGTGGTAACGAGCTGGGAACTGCAGGAACAAGCAGGGCAGCAATTGTCACAAGGAACATTTTAACCAGGCTCCCCCTTTGACAGAGGAGTTTGTAGGAGTGAAGAGGGAGTTCCTTGTTTTTCCAGCCAGTGTTTGATCCATTGAGATGTGTTCTCATTTAATAATGGATCGAGTGGCTGTGGAGTCACTTAACTCTTCAGCCTAAAGAAGGCAGATGCTGAAGCCATCCCAGTGTCCTGGGGTGGGGAGCAGCTGGGGGTGGCAGTGCCAGCCAGGGACAGCTCTGCCTTCCTTGGAGGCCCTGGGTGTTGCTGCTGGCACAGCTGGGCCTGGGCACAATGGGCTTTGTGTGCTGGCTGCCCTGCAGCCCCAAAAGGGTGAGCAAATACCACTACTTCCACCAAAAGCACTGCACACAGCACTGCCCACTCACAGTGACCTCATGGCACGGGAGCTGTCAGTAAGCAAGGAAGGCACAGCGTGTGGGAGTGGAGGAGCTACTTCAGGCTCTGCATTTGTGGGCATCCATTGTGTGAGGATCCTTCAGATTTCACTCCTGGAAAGCAAAAAGTGATGGCTGACAACAAATCAGTCTCCAGACTCTGGGTATGATAACCATACAGAATGCTGAAAACAAGTGTAACATCTACTAGGAAACAACACCCGCATCTCAGGAATCTTCCACTTCACTGAGGTCAGGTACTGAGAAAAAGCATCCAGAGGACAAAAATAAATAAAAAATTACAGAATGATGTAAAGACAATGACATTGGTGCCCTCACAGGGTTAGGCTGGGTAAGGAGCAGGCTGCCACTGCCACTGGTACCCAGCAGCTCAAGGCGAGCAGAGGTGTCACCCACTGTACTTGCATTCCTGGGACTGGAGAACGTGGATCGATATTTCACAGGATTGAAGTGAACATAAGGTTCTGGGTTTCTCTGGTCAAAGTCTCCACATTTAAAATTCAGCATGTGTTTGTTCTCTCGGGGGAGGGTTGGACCAGGATAACAGGAACAGGTGGTTATTTCTGGAGGACTGAAAATAAAGTAAAATCTCCCTGTAAAACTCCAACTGACGTTCTATAAAGCACTTGTGGAAATCTGAACAGGTTTTAGTCCCTCTCATAAGAGGAAAGCCTGGTATTTTAGCTTGGCCTCGAAAGTGATTTGTCTTCTTGGGGGCACAATGGCTGCTCAGGCAGAATTGGGTTTCCCTCTCTTGCATTGCTTTGTTTTTTGGGGACACAGAGTGTGAAGTGCCAGCTCTCACACGGGGCAGCACTTGGGCAATGAGACACACAAGCTGATGTGGAAATGAAAACAAATTGTCTGGTGTGGAAAAGCAGAGCCATTGGGAATGTGTGCAGACTGTGCTGCTTCACCTGGGACACTACTACAGTTTCAAAAGTAAATATACAGTTACTGTGTCTGCAAAATGGAACCCTGGATGTTTCACTGCCATTCCATTGAGAGCTGTCACTATCAGAATCATCATGATGCAAACCTGCAATGATCAGGGATGCACACCTTCAGTTTAGAAATGTAGGAATTCTGTGAGGATGCTCCTACCCACGCAATTCTCATGTACAATGTGTGTTATGTGCAACAGCTTCTTGATATTTCCCCAGTCAACAGAAAATTGATTGGGCCAACTGAAGATGGACACAATTCCCTGGTAACTCAGACACATGGAGCTGATCAGAAGTAGTGAGTTTGTGGCAATTCCTTGAGCACACAGAGCTGGGAGTGCTGGTGTGTTCTCCTGGCATGGATCAGTGCCAAGTCCCAGTGCCCAGCAGAAGCTCAGCACAGCTCCTGCAAGTTCATCTCCTGGAAAGGCACCAACCCTGTTCAGTTCTGTGCTTCCACCGTGGGCTATGCACAGTCGTAGCACACTGGGCATTAAAACTGCCAGGTGACTCTCAACATGGAACCCGGTGTTTCTGTTTCCATACCACAGGACTTCAGTAGGAATGGAGCTGTTATTGTGAGGACAATATGGAAAATGTAACCTCAGAAATATTTCTTCATTTCCTGGAAGCTGAAGTTTTCTTGTCTTCTAACTGCCCTTGTGACCATTCTGCTTTCAAACTCAGTTTTGCAACTGTGACCGCTCTTGGGTGCCTGGATACAAACTCGTGCTTTCAGATTTGGATTTAAAAGCAAACATTAACTTCATGGCACTGATACATGCCATGATACAGTTCTGGTTTCATGAGCATTTCACATCCCCATGTGTGATCTTAAGAATCCTTGAAAGCAAACCCAGCTCGTTTGTGAAGCAAAGAGTGAAAGAGTAAGCACTAGTGTCATACACATTCATTAATTCATATTAATTAACGTTCTGCTTCTCCAGAAGTGACTCCAGCGATTGCTTCACACATATGAGCACAGGTTTCCCTAAATGAGCAATGGCCCCATGACCCTGAGCAGTGCTGGAGGAAAACTCTGCAGTCACTTTGTCACATGCCATTGCTGAGCCTGGAAACACTGGCCTTCAGTTCTAGGAATCCACAGCAGGGAACATCACCTGGTGCTCCCCATGCAGTGGCTGCCCCGGGATGGCCCTGACAGGACACCAGGTGCCACCAAAGCCACTCCATCCTGCCCTCTGCAGCTGGACAGGGAGGCGAACACAACAAAAGCTCATGGGTGGAGATAAGGAATTTCTACATTTGAAATGGTCGACACAGTTAATTAGCCTGGAGCACACCGGTCCCAAAGAGCCGTCAATACCTTTTCAGTCGTGTTTCAACAAGGCTGTTTTTAGAAGAGGAAATTATCTGCTCTTCTAAAGATTTGTTTCTGACTCATATATATTTCATACCAGGTTTCTCATTCCTTTATTTCTCCTTCAAGTCCCTGTGACACCGCAGAGGCTCAGGGGGTGTGTCCGGCTGCTGCACACCCGATGGGCTCTGTTCTGGCCACAGCACCGCGCAGTCCCGAATCGCTCCGGGCAAATCTCTGCGAGCGGGGATTTGTCCCCTCCCTGATGTCCTGGTCTGGCAGGCAGGGACAGGGACAGGGACAGGGGCAGGGACAGGGACAGGGGCAGGGACAGGGACAGGGATGGGGACAGGGACAGGGGCTGGGGCAGGGACAGGGACAGGGACAGGGACTGGGGCAGGGACAGGGGCAGGGACAGGGGCAGGGACAGGGGCAGGGACAGGGACAGGGACAGTGGCAGGGACAGGGACAGGGATAGGGACAGGGATAGGGACAGGGACAGTGGCAGGGACAGGGACAGGAACGTGGACAGGAACAGGGACAGGGACAGGGATAGGGATAGGGACAGGGACAGGGATAGGGACAGGGACAGGGATAGGGACAGGGACAGGAGCAGGACAGGGATAGGGACAGGGACAGGGACAGTAGCAGGGACAGGGGCAGGACAGGGGCACTCCGGGGCAGCCGGGCAGCTCTGCCCCGCCCGGGCCCGGCCCCGGTCCGTCCCGCGGGGGCGGGCGGAGGAGCCGCGGCCGCGGGGCCCGGGCGGGGCGGTCCTGCCCGGTCCTGCCCCGCCGCGGCTCTGCCCCCCCGGGGATGATGCCGGTTATTTATTGCGCTGCCCAGCACGGGCTGTCCCCAGCGCTCGGTGTCCCCTTTCAGCGGCGGCCGCGTGTCCTTGAAGCGGCGGCGGCGGCGGTGGCTCCCCGGGGGCTGCGGCGCTCACGGACACTCGCCCGCCGCCCGGAGCCTCCCGGGCACATGCAGCACGGAGACGAGGCACTTCTCCTCTGATCCTGCTGATCCCAGCCCGGGTTCCCCCTTTCCTAGGCACCGCTCTGTTCTGGGAACAACTGGGAGAACTCTGCCCGGTGAGTAACCACTGCCTGTTCCCAAACCTTCCCCACCGTGACCAAGAGACATTCCCACACCAGAACGGTGACTTGCTCGTGGCCATCCCTTACAAGTTCTTTTTTGATCTCTAAGACAGTCAGCAACTTTTAAATTTCACTTGGCTGCCCTTGCTCTGTGGACTGAGGAATGGTTCTCTCCCAAGACGACTCCCAAGTGTCACTTCTGAACAGTTTGCAGATGCTGTCCTGTGGTCAGAGCCATGGTTCTGGTACAGGAAATCCACTGCAGGAGGTTCAGTACACACAACCCTGCTGAAATGGCACAGGAGCTGTCCTCCTCCTTTTGTACTGCACTGGAGCTGGAGAAAGCAATTTCTGCCTGCATTGGAGCTATGGAAAAAATAACTTTAAAATATCTGGAGGACACAGGCAATTGTCTAGACCAACATTTTCAGACGGGCCTCTGGTATGAGGCACCTCATCTCAGTTACCTTTAACACTGATTTGGCTTTTTGGGAATCCTACACATGTAATTCTCTCTCCCAAGCAAGAGTAAAGCACCACTCAATAAAAACATTTATTGATTCAGAAGCAACCTTTACAGTGGGATTATTTGCATGTTCTCATGTGGAGTAATGGTACAGCCATGAAGAACAATCTAAAGTGGTTTTTCTCCACACTCTTACTGAGTGCTTTCCCTTTTCCACCCCAGGGAATGCATTCCCTGTCATACATGCACTATTTAAATCAGTGAATCATCTGCCTTCCTTCACAGATGCCCTCAGAACATGTCTGATTGGACAAATCTGTGGTATGTCTGGTAAGTTGGCTTTTAATCTTCCTCACCCAGAACCATTTGGAAGTTTTTATGAGCAGGACTTGGAGCAAGGCAGTGGAAACGCTTGTCTCAGGCAGGATCAGGAAAGGGTTTCTCTGTTTGCAGAGGAATGGACTGGATGAGGCCAGGGGAGATTGGGTGTCAGGTGGGGACCAGCATTCACTGAGGGCTGTGTCATCTTTCCCTTCTGAGCGCACTGGAGTTGAACTCCAGGGCTTGTTTATTCTTCCTAAATAGCCAGAGCCTTGCTGGCCATTGGCTCTTGGCACAGGGCAGCTTCCAGCAGGGATTTGCTGGGCTCATCCTGGGCTCATTCCCTTCTATGGGACAGGGACTGTCACCCTCTGCTGAGCTTCCCCTCGGAGCTCCAGCACGGCCTGCTGGGAGCGGGAGACTGGGACAAGAGAGAATTCCCAACAGGATTCATCTCCTACCTCACACCTGGTGTAGGTGCCCTGACATCGTTTTCATAGTTTGCATTCTGTCCATACATTGGCTTTGGTGGCAGCACACAGAGGGAGTTGATTACTTCACATCCTTCAGTCTGCTGCAACTTTTGTTGACACACAAAGCTGTTTAAAAAGACACAGTTACCAGAAATAGATTGAGAAGGCTTCTAAAAGCCTCCACGAGAAGAGGGAGTTGGATTGAGAAACTGAGAGGTGGAAAGGTGGAGTTTCAGTGGAGAGGGGAACCTGAAACACAAGTATATCAGTCTAGGTACATTGTAAATTATTAAATTATAGACTTCCTTAAGCAATAGCTACAGATAGAATTGTGTTTTCAAGGCATAAGCATAATTTAACATCATATCATTTCCATCCTCATTTATAAAGAGAGGCCCTAGACTTGTGGAAGTTTGTGCTTGTATTTCCCTCCAAGTACAAACCCTCTCTTGCTGTGGAAAGCAGAGCCATTCTCCCTGCACAGAAGCTGAAAATGACCCAAAATAGTGAAATGTTACAGCACCTGTGAGCCAGAACGGGTTGTACTTATGGGCAGCAGTTCTTCAACTTGTGATTGAGTGTTTGTGATCCACCTTCCTAATCCAGGATCCAGCACCCATTCAGAACTAAATCAAGGAGGCTCGGCGGATCTTCCAACCATTTCAAGTGAAATTATATTCTGGTTCAGAAGTAGTGAAACAGCAGCAGTGATGATGGTCTTTCCCCCTGTTTCAGGCTGATCTTGCTGATGGTGTTCCTGCTCCTGCTCTGTGGGGTCTCAGCGAGCTGTGTCAAGTTCTGCTGCCGGAAGAAAAGGCTCCCAGTGGAGACCTTCCCTCGGCACCCCTGTGACCTGGCAGTGATTGGCATTGACAGTGACAGCACTGCCCACAGCACAGTGACCTGTGAGTATCCTGGGAGTCACCTGCTCCACGGAGCACTGCTCCTGAACCTGGGCCTGCAGGAACAGGAATTCTCAGTGAGCTCCCAGAACAACTTCCAGCCCCACGGGGTGGGCACAAGAGGTGAAGGGAGGGATCAGGGTGACAGTGAGTGACACTGAAGACCAGGAGTGAGAGCTTTAGTATACAGTGCCTTTGTTCTGAAAACACAAAAATCAGTAATTTCCTGGAAAAAAAGCAGGATTAGCCCTTTATATATCAGTTTTCCACACAGGTGTTTCATTTTTATTTTTAATTCTTTTTCTTCACAGCATACAGCTCATGGCAGTACCCTCCAAGTGTCCAGATTCCCTTGGTATTTGTGGATATGGATAAGAACACTGTGTCCCCTCCTGCTTACAGCCTCTATGCCATGGACCTGCCACCTTCCTATGATGAAGCTGTTCAAATGGGAAAGCAAGTGGCACGGACAAACCAGAAACTTGATGAAATCCCTGAACAGGTGACACCACGTGGGCTGAATCCCAGCCAGTCCCCACCTGACAGAATCAACAGAGATCCAGCAAGACAGGAAAATTCAGAAGATTCAGAAGATGCCACATAAGAACAGCCACAGGTCTGACTCAGTTCAGATGGGGAGAAAGTAAGGGAAGGACTGTAAGAGTTAAAGAAGACACGAAGAGTTTGGGTTTATAAGTAGGTTATGATGGAAAGATATTTCTTTTCATGCCCTTGTAATGATCTGTCAGAAGAAATGTTTTCTGTGACTGCTGTAATCCCCTGGTAAAGCTTCTTCAAGGATATGAAATGAGGTAAAAGGGCAGCAGTTTAAAAATGCCTGTAAAAGTGGGACGTGAATGAGTGTTCATCTTCTGATAAAAAAAATTGTTCCTTGTGTCCAGCAATAAAAAAGGTTAGGAGAATTTTGCCACCTTGGGAATACACACTCAGAACAACACAAACAGGAAGCTGTTGTACTAGAACAGAAGTTTCCCAAGCTGGAATTGAAGGGGGAATCCCAGCAAGTGACACTGAACAGCCTCTGTAGTTTCTCTTCTTTTGAGAACACAACTGCCCAGGAAACTGCTGAGGACAAAGTGCTGCACAGTGGCTCATGTTCCTCACGGAGCAGGAAGATGCCAGGACAGGAGAGTGTGGAGGGAAATGCTTTGTGTGGTTTCACACCTGCACAAAGGGAATGAGGCAGATGAGACACGACACTTCTGTGGTGGTGGTGGTCATGAGACCACAAGGGATTGTTTTTCAGGTTCTATAAATCTCTCAATTTCTATTTTCAAGATGTGTTGCCTTGTGGGTGGGTTCCCTTTGCTATTTATTTTTTCCAGACAAACTACACATTAATTCCAAAGAGACACTTGCACATATGGTTTGGTATTATTGATGAGATTCAAATATTCATCAAATATTTCAAAGGTGCCTTTATTTTTTGTTATCTGCTGAGGTGTCAGAGTCTCAGGCAGCACAGGAAAGAAAAATCACAGGTTCCTGGAAGCTTTTACCAGTTCAGAACATGGACAAGCTCAGGAATGAGCAGGGTGACACAAAACATGCTTGTGCTGAGCCATCCAGAATAAGTTAAAGATACAAATACCACAGTATGAGCTGGGCAAAAGTTCAAAGAAAATACTCTTAGGATGGTTCTAAATGAAGGACTGATAGAGGGATAACTGCTGAGCATCATTTTAGAACTGGGAGCTCGGAGCTGATTACAGCAGTAGCAGCACAGACAAAAATATGGACTCCAGAGGCAGGGATTTTAATGCCAGCTCTTTCCCTTGCCCTTCCATATTCCAAATGGTCCAAATTTTGTCCACTTCTGAGCAGTGATTTTCTCTGAATCCACTTTAGCAAGGTGCTAATCTGGCTGCTTTAAGAACATGAGCAATTGCCAGGGGGGCTCATTGCTCTGGGTAAGAGCAGCAAGCAAAGCCTGAGCCTCGGTGCTATTAGTGAATGTAGCATAAATTTAGGTGTCTGTCATTAACAGGCAGTAGAAGTGGTGGGCACAAAAGCCTGCACAGCTTTTAGAAGACTGTTATTCTCTGACAACCATTACTGCAAGAACTGCCCTGGAAATGAGCACTAATGATTTAAAAATGAAGATCTCTGCCAGCCACAGGCCCAAGATGCTGCTGCAGAGTCGTGTGTGAGCTGTCCATGAGTCTGGCTCCCCAGGGAAGGGTCTCTTCTATATTTAACTTGCATGTAACTTACTATGAGAGTTGACTGGTGCAACAAATCTGCTTCTCCTGTGTCTCCTCTCTGTCATCCTTCATTATATTTCTCCTGTTTTATTCTTTCCTCTGCTTTTCTTATCTGTGTCAAGATGGAGGCTGGGTATAAGCCAGGGTAACTATTGGATGTCTCTGGCTGGAAGGGCAATATATGGCCAGTTCTGGATGTCTCCAAGTCATAAATACAGCAGATGTATTTTTATTTATTGAACTTTTCCACAGCATCCAGAACGAAGCCGGAAGGAAGAAGAAGGAATTAGTGCTGGAGGGAAATGGCTGAGCGCTCACTCACAGATAGAGACGGGAACGGAAAGCAGGCGAGTGAAAGAATCGTGACTGACACAAGAGGGCAGTCCCTGCCTGCCGGCTGCGCTCAGAGCTCCCACTGCCCTGCCCGGCTCCTGCCGCCGCGGCACCCGCCGGCTCCGTCCGTCTGGGCACAGGAGATGCAAAACCCAGGGAAACCCCAAATACCTGCGACTTCCTAGGAATAAAAACATGATCTTGTGTTTCCTTTCTAGCACAAGGAAAAGTCTTGTGTTCTGCCCAGTAGTTCATTAATTCAGAAATTGTTAACAGCAATTACTGCCCCAGTCAGCCCTCAGGAACACAGACTTCCCTCTGCACACCCAAAGCAGCTCAGTTCGCTGTGTAACCTTCACAGTTAGGAAATTATTAAGGCCTTTCTTGTGAGTGGCCTTCTCCAGAGCCTGCTAAGGCTGATGCCATGATGGAGTCCTTCTTGCAATGGAGGGCTGAAGAGATCCCTCATCTCTACACAGCTTCTGTTTGATGGAACAGTTTAGAACCTCACCGTGTTGAAACCTGCAGTTCTCTATCACTTGGCTTGGAATTGGTCAGTGGATGCAGAAGTTATTACTTGTGAATTCAGAAGTTATCAGTGAATTATTAGTTGGGTATGCAGCGTGGAAGGAGGGGAAGCAGGACATTGTGGGGAAGCAGGAATTTGTGATTCCAAAACCTCGCTTCCAGAAGAAACCAGTTTTAAAAAGAACATTTGGGGGGAGGTTGGTGCCACAGCAGAGTATAGGCTTGGCCTGATGCAGGATCTAAGAATTCTGATTTGTCAGACTGGTGGGTTTCACCATCACTAAATTTATTCAAGTCTGATTATATCCACACAAGCCTTGTGACATCTCTAAGGGAAAAGCCCCTCTCTGTAATTACCCAAAGTGCATTTTAATTGTGATTTCTATTTGGTCCTCAGTTTGGCACTGTTCAGCATGCAATTTTTCTTCTCTCATTTGTTCAAAATGATCATTTTGTCAGTTATTTTCTGCTGTTCTTTGCTGGCTGTGTGAAAGAGCCTGTGCTGGGGAGATGGACTGCCGAGGCTGGAGCCTCCATCACTCTCTCCTCTCTCACACATGCACTCAGCACGAGCACTTGTGCTCAGAAAGAAAATGCAGCCATGGAAGTAAATTTTCTCAATAATTCATGGGCTTTATAGCCCAGAGCGAATTATACCTTGGCTCTGTCATGAAGCTCAGGCTGCAAATCCCTTTATAGCCAAGCTCGTTAACAATATAAGTAAAGTGGTACCTCTAGAAAGGCTTTGATAATTGATGCATTATAATCTTTGGAGAGTATTTAGTGGTAAACCTGCAGCATCCAGATTGAGGCATCAGTGGGGTCTGGAGAGAGGAAAAGTCAGAGAAAAAACATTTCTTTGTTTGACTTGCAGTTGCCTTTGTCTGCCTCAAACAGCTCAGGTTTGGTTCTTTGTTTTCTAACTCATTTTGTCTTTATCAGCTGCAGTTTTTGAGGGAAAAGGATCACTGCTGCTGCCAGTATGGATGAGTGGGACACTGGGACATGTGCAAAACCTGCTCATTTATGGAACAAAATATCTCTGCTATAACCACTCTTCATACTCTTGGCTGTCTCCTGGTTCTGATCCTAATCCTCTTTACCTGTTGTAAATCTTTTTGCTTAGGGAGACACTGACTAATTTTGCTGCAAGTAGCAGAGGTTCTTTCCTTCACCCACAATTAAAATTCCAACTGTGAGAGAAGCCTTGAAATCCTTTTCAGCGCAGATGATGAAAACAAAGTATCACAGGGGAATTGTGCTCTAAAAACTGGAGAAGACAATAAATGTTTTATGAAATTCTACATCCTAAGGTCAAACTCAATGCACAAAAAAGCTTAGGTGCAAACCCACATTGCTGGTAAAACATTTTGTTCTGGTCAGTCAAAATTTAGAATATAAAATGCCAGCGTTGCTCTCTTTTATCTTACTGGAAGGAAAAAGGGGCCTGTAGAAAAGAATGCAGACTTTCAAAGATATTTCAATTTTTTTTTTAAATAATGAAGCTCACCTTGGGCACTTGGTGAAAGGAGAAAATCAATTTCTATTTCAAACTTAGAAATGTATGTGCAAACCTGAATCTGTATTAAAGTGCTTAATTTTTACTCATTTTTTTTACTCTGCTTTCCCAAGTAGATCAAAAACAAAACAAAAGAGAAGAGCCTGATGTCAAGCTCTTATTTGTGCATTGTTTTTTCTTTCCATGCTAGGAGTTTATGGCATAACAACTTCACTCCACAAGTGAGGAAGTGCAGTCTCGAGGTCCAAGTACTGGCCTGGGAAACCCACTTTGGTGACTTTTCTGCCACAGACTTCCCACATGACCCGGGTCTGTAGAACAGGGACTGTAGCACTGCCTTTTCTTGCACAGAATTTGGGGGATGAATACATTGAGCGTGGGCTGCGCTGTCACATTGAAATACAGGTACAGTCAGAGCATGATGAACTTTGTGTGGGACATGAAGTGCAGGAAAAAACCTCCCCACTCCCTCCCCCTCTTAAGGGGCAAATCTGGAGAAGAAACTTGGGCAAAGTGTGAGATATAGAAACAGCTCCTGGACTTGAGGTGCCTCATCACAACATTCCTAACCAGGGCAAGGCGCTGGGGCAGAGGAGCAAGGTTTGCTGAGCTCCACGGGGCTGGGAAGTTTCTTTCCCCAAAACCCCCGCCAGGCTGTCAGAGAGCCCGGGCCGCTGCGCTGAAGGTGGGAGAAGCTGCTGTGCCCCGCACATAAGGTCACTCCGGCTGGCTTTGAAGGCAATCGAGCTGCGATTAGCCGGCAAAGCAGACGGCCATAAAAATAAACACCCCGTGTGTGTTTGAGAACGCTTCCTCCGCCCTTGGCTGAGCTACCTGCTCCCAGCAGATGGGGGAAGTGAGCCGGAGTGGCCCCGGTGAAGGTCGCCTGGGCAGACTGCAAGGCCAACACACAGAGCAGCAATTACATTCAGTGAGGTTATTTGGAAGGGAAAAAAAACGTGGTATGCTTTTATTCCTTATTTATTTCGCATTTAGACTTTCCCCTCTTGATAAAAGGCCCACAGTACCTGCTGTAAAATACTGAATTTCAAATGGCTCGGGCCATCTGGGAAATAAAAAAGCGTATGTTTGATTATTTTCCACTGTAATAATGAGGAAAAATCGGTGATAATGACTAGGGTTATCTCTCAATCAAGAAACATCCTGGAGTGTGACAGACTCCAGCTCTACAACAGATATCCTGGGCATCCAGATAGGTTTCAATGTCTCTGCCTCTATTTTCCATTGGTAAACAATTCCAGGATCCAGAGGTTGGAAGGGACCTTCGGACATCCCCTAGTCCAGCCCCTGCTGCTCACTGGGGCCAGCCAGAGCAGCTTACCCTGCCCACTGTGGCTCTGAATTCTCCAAGCATGCAGATCTCACTGCCCCTCTGGGCAACCTGTTCTACTGTCTGACCTCCCTTACAGTGAAAATAGGACATTTTGGATTGTTGGAGTGGAATTTCCTGTATTTGGGATTATTCCTACTGCTTCTTACCATGCAAGATGGTGCCCAGTGAGAAAAGTCTGCCTCTGTCTTCTTTATCCTTCCCCCCAGGTATTTATAGATCCCTCCTGTATCACCTCATCCTGAGGCCAAAGACTCCCAGCTTGCTCATCCTTCCCTCATACGTCAGACGCTTCCATGCCTTAATCATCCAAATATTTAACTCCAACTTGTCTAAATCACCAGGAATTTCCCCTGAATTCTAGTGTGCTGTTTAATGCTTCCTCCTGCCTGTGCAATAAGGAGCTGCAGAAAGCAGAGCGTGAAGTCCCCCGTGGACGCCCGTCCCTGTGCCTCTCCCCTGGCTGGCGGCGGTGCCACCTGGGCACAGGGGGATTGCAGGGCTGGCACTGCCATTGCATCACCTCCCATCCCACAGCCAGGGAGGCTGTGACACCTCCAGCTGTGACAGCGGCCACCTCGGCCACCTCGGCGTGGCCCCAGGGGAAGGGGAGTGCCAAGGTGAAACCAGAAATCAGAGGCAGATGAATCTCCCCTCTCTCCTCTGCTCTACACCAACTGTTTAATCAGAAGTGGATGAGCTGCTGGAACGGGAAAAATAAATGTAACCTTCCTCCTGCTTTGCACGGGGCTTTGGGGTGGAAGGTGCTACAGAAATACTCCTCCTTTGGGAGACCACGCTTCAGAAGCACAGGAAATTGCCTGGATTTAAAAAAGGAACACAAGGAATAATGCTTTTCCAGGCCAGAGAAGGACAAGAGATTTCCCTTCCTTTCTCTAGTTTATCACATCGCTACCAACAAAAAAAACCTTTTTCATCAGAGCTTGGCCTTGCTCCCCCAGGTTTCAATCAAAATGGTTATTGATGAAAAATCTTAAAAGGATTGTAGCTAGAGATACTGCAAACCCACTGCTCAGTGCTATGCCAGAATAATTGCAACAAAGATTCAAAGTCTCTTATTGCTTCCTACCTCTTGATTTCCGAACATAGCCCACTGTTTTAGGTACAAAATCTCCAAGATTCAATCAAAATTCAAGATATCAGGTAACACACATTAATGTAATTAGACAGCACAACAAAATCAGGATAATTACAGCATCTATGGAATTAGTTTGGCGACTTCTTAATCCATTTATAATTATAAATCATGAAAGTGCAAGTGTGTACACATGTCTAATCAACTGGTGGCTGTCACACACAGCCCTTCTTCCTGTCCCCTTCCATTTTTGTGATCAGGCCTGCTCTTTTCAGGCTCCTTGGTGCCTCTTCCCTTTTATAACTCTGTGCAGCCATTTACCCATGGACCTGTGGCTAATCCTGATACCCAAATTGGCTCCTCTGAGTCTGAAACAACATTCAGAGAAATGAAACTAAAATAAAGGGAGTTTCTCATCCATCTGGAGATGGGGGATGGAAGAGGCAACTGCTAGGTCCAAAAATCAGTCAGACTGTTCTTTATGACATGAGTCCCAAACCACAGGTGTGGATGTAGAAGGGTCTTTCTTCAAATCTGCATGTCTGAGTTCTAGTGATTCACATCTAAAGCTGTGGCTGCATATTCTTGAATTCAGGGAAGGCTCCAGTATAAAATCTCTGGCACAGGAAGTTCAGCTTCCTCTCCAGATTTCCTTCCTCCACCTCCTTATATGCAGAACAGCAGGGAACTCTCTTTGGCCTTGCCAGTGCAAGTGCAAACTCTCAGGACTGCAGAGAGTTTGAGTTTATGGCCAACACCTTCAGCTCAAGGGTTCAAGGGAGGCAGCACAGACCAGTGGCTCTTGTTGACAACATTTAATCCCAAAATACCCTCACCTGCTGAGCTGTGTTTGGTACCTGCACGTGAAGCTGCACCCAGTCCCTCAGCAAACACGACCAACAAGGGTGACACTCTCAGTGACATTCAAACCATTTGCACGGTCAAACTCTTACTGATGACAGTGAGCATCAATCAATGGCAGAAATTCAGCCATCATGTGACTTTGCTACAATTACAAAGTAAGAAAAACTGTGGAAGAGCAGGTTTGGATCCAGTCAATGCCTAAACTATCACTAATTATACCAGGCTAATTTCACTTCCTAGGTTTTTATCTAGGCTTTGGTGTCCTTTAAAAACAGCTTGCTAGACTTCAGGCCAAGGGTCAGGCAGTTCAATTGCCCAGTTTGAGCCTCAAACTAAATCAGGAAAAATGTGATCAGCATTACAGCTAGAAGTTGATGTGAAGTTTGCTGAAAGAATGGCAACATCTGAGCATGGCACAACATTAGAGACCCCAGAGCTACGTCTGAGGAACAGCAGCTGTGGATCTGTGTGCAGAGATCCTCACCAGCATCCCAGAAGCAAAGTGCCATGGAGTGGGGCTCTCACCAGGGCTAAACTGAAATATGGCAAGGCACTGATGCAGCTCACGATGCTTCCAGTTCTGGAATCTGCCCGTGGGGCTCTCACTGGGATGTGTGGCTCTGCTGCCAGTTCACAGTGCACATATTCCCTACAGGAATTCTCTGCAGGTGTACCAAACCCAGCAGGCTGTGCTTGCAGAGCATGACTAAGCTCCACCAGGCAGAGGTTACTCCATCCCCAGTCTCTCTCCTGAACAGAATGTGCCACACTGGGGAAGGAACAGAGGCACACCTGCCCCAGTACCTTCACAGCAGAGCTGGAGCAGCCACACACAGAGTGCAGTGAGAGGGGAGAGCACCCGCACGGCCCAGCCCCTCCAGGACAGCCCCAGGACTGCTCTGGGCAGCGGGACAGGAACAGGACAGCGGCTCTGCCACCCCTGCATGGAGTCTCTGCTCCCCACTCACCTCTGACCCAGGCAGAAATTCACACCTGGCTTTAGCAAGTGCAGAATAACCTCGGGCGGCCCATGCAGACAGAGCAGAACACTGCCCTTGGCTCCTCTCTGCCAGCTCTCCCAGGAGACACGTGCTGCCAACGTCCAGCTGGGCTGGGAACATGCCACCATCTGAAAGCACAGACAGGGGAGTCACCTCAGTGCCACTGCACAGACTGGGGAGTCACCTCAGTGCCACCACACAGACAGGGGAGTCACCTCAGTGCCACCACACAGAGGAGTCACCTCAGTGCCACCACACAGAGGAGTCGCCTCAGTGCCATCACACACAGGAGTCACCTCAGTGCCACCGCAGCGGGCTGCCTGGGCAGCAGGAAGGGGTTAAAACCCACGAGTCACCTGCTACTTCATACAAGAAAATGGAAAAGAGTCCTTGAGTTTCAGTCACATCCAGCTGCTCAAAGTGAGAGATTAATAAATAATAAATAGGAGTAGCATCAATTACAAATGCCAAAGGGGGATGATGTCTCTGGATGCATTTCTGCTGACTGGTGCATATTAGGAAACCACAGAGTGCTTTTAGCTTTGACTCCAACATTAATTTTGGCAACGGAAAGAGGTTTTATTAAAAGTACTGAAAATGTCATTCATCTTCATTTGTATTACATTTGTTACAAGGATTTAAACCCCAATACGGAACTATGGGGAGAAGAAAAAATTGAAATTGACTCATCTGATCATAAAAATAAATGGAACTCTAAACATACTTTAAGTAGCAAAAAGTACATTTGGGTATTATATTTCTAATACTGGAAGGTGGTACTGATATGAACTGTTTTTCATGGTTTGTTTTTTCTCTAAGGTGTTATTTTTGAATCCCTTACAAATGAAATTATTTGTAGGTATGCTATAATGGTAGCCCATAATCCATAGGGGGAAATTAAATAAAAGGTGGAAATGTGAAGAATTGAAACCAACCAATTATTTTTAAATATTAAATTCAAAGGAAATGAAACTATTCTTTGAAGTACTACCCAGAAATCTAAGAGGTTCAAAATCCTGCTGTAAGTCCATTTACTCAAAATTGTCTTTTTGTCTATTTTAGTTAAGTGCTGAACAGTACATTGATATTGCTGGATCTTTTCTAGGATGTTCCCAAGCTGAGGTTAGTAGGGAATTTAAATTACTTGCAATCTAGGACCCCTAACCTGAAATCCAGATTTTTCCACTGCAAATGTAAAATTTGCAAAATGAAAAAAAAAAAAAAATCTGATGCAAATCCCTATTGGCATTACTGTGGAGGGAATCACAAAAGTCCAGTGACCTTTCTGCTTTATGGGATTGGCACAACCCCACCAGAAATGGAAGAGCACAAATCCATCCCAACACACGTTGGCAACTCTGGGGCTTGGTGCTGAGCTTTTGGAGGTGAGAAATGGGCATTTCATGTTGCTCCTAGTGAAATATAAAAGCTGATTTCCAGCTGTGACAGTTCTTCAGTAAATGTCTTTAATCAAGGACCACATCTCAACACACAATAATCACCAACAAGTAGGTTTTATTCTCAATTCTGAAACTGGATTGTTCAGTGAGTGAAAAGTTAAAGATTTTTAGAGAACAACAGGTTTTTATGGGTTTTCTTCCTAATTCTGTGATTGTTCATGATAATGTTATCACTGGGGAAAGGGGTGGTTTATGTTACTTTGAGTATCTATTTTTAAATGTATTTCTTGACTCTTTGCAACTTCTTAGTCCAGACTTGTTTGTGTTTTAACGTTTATAAAAATATTTTCCATCACAATTATTTCTTCAATAAATATTTTGGCTTGACTAAGCAAAACTATACATGTAGAGGGGCTTATTTTTTTCCACCATATGTAACTGACTTTGTATAAAAACTAAATTTCGTGGGCTGATTATTTACTAAAACATTCATTCATTCAGACTCTGAAAATCCAATTGTGTTGGCTTTTGTTAGTTCTCTTGAGCAGTGGCTAGAGAGATGTCACACTATATGAGTTTTGTTTTACTGCTTGGAAACATGGATTTTATAACATGTTCTCTGTAACAGATCCTTCCAAGGAAGGGTTTCACAGAATTGCTGACAAATGGTCTGAGATTTGGGATATTTACTGTAACAGAACCCAGAGGTCACAGCAAAGTTCTCTTTTTTGTAAATTTAGAACCCAGCCCAGCCCCTTGTTTGAAGGACATGAGTAGAACGTGGCTGTAAGTTCTTTCATCCTGAGCAGCAACTGAACTGTTTTGCTTGGTCCCAGCACATTTTCCCAAATAAATACTTATTTTTGGAGTATGGGATGTAACTATCACTGAACCTACACATTTTATTACCTACTGCAATTCAATTAATGCCTACTGAACTTTCCAACCTTCTCTATGGCAATTAGGCTTTAACTTCAAAGGGATTCTCCAAGGACAGTGGTACAAATCCCCTGACCATGAATATTTTTGTTTTATAACTGCATCTTTGTTTTCTGGATTCTGGAATCTTGCAGTGGCACTGAAGCTCTCCTTCAGCTGCAGGCCAGGCTCTTTGAGAGAACAGAAATGGTTGGAAGCAGCTTCCCAGGACACACAGCTGTGCCCACTTTCCCACACTGCTCTGTCAAGGATGGAAGAACGGATGGAAGCTCCATGGGAATCTGACACACAGCAAGGTGAGCAAATTCTCTCTTGTCTTTGAAGGTATTTCAAACTTCACCACAGGTCTGGTGTGTCTGACATAATGGAAAATTTAGTAGCTAGGCTGAATTCTCAATGTGGATTCTAAACTCCAAGCACCTCCTGGGTCCCAGTTGTTTTTCTGTTTGTTGCTCAATGAACCCCTCGAGGAAAGTCCCTTTAAATGGGGAAATATGAGGCTTTAAATGGGGAAATACGAGACTTTAAGCTTTTACTCAAACTGCTTGATCAGCCTTCATGCAACCCAAATATTACCTACTTAAAGGAAGACCTGCATGTGTGCAATTGCTTGGGTGTGTTTATAGATGTGTGTAAACACACAACGCAGAATCTGATTTCTCAGATGATTATAACAATTCCCTTTGTTGTTATTTTATTGTTTTCCAAGAGCCACAAAGGACTTTTAAAAGCCAAGCTACAGCTTGGCTTTTAAAGGTACAGCAAAAATGTCAACTCACAATAAATACCTGAGCACAAAGGTAAACCAGAACAATCCTCAGCACATGGAAAAGAGCTCTGACACAATTCTGATTCCAGAAAAGAAAACCCTCAAAGCTATTCTTCTGGCTCTCTCAAGATGGATTTGTATGAACAGAATGAAAACAAAGGAGAATTGGTGTTCAGTAAGTGCATGAGTATGCTCAGACCAACCTCGAGACACCCATCTATGCTTCAAAGTTGGAAGATGAAAAAAAAGTTCAGAACAGAGCACTCCCAGCAGAGAAGTTTTGTGTTTTGTTGAATAAGTATCCACATAAATTACAAATTCTGTATTTGTATGACAGTATGAAATCAGGTGTTGACTGTGAGGAACAGTAGATCCAGGTTCAAGCAACCCAAACATTTCATCTCCCTTCTTTCCATAAAGTGCTGGGTGTTGGTGGCTGAAGAATTTCACATCACTCTGCATCAGCTTCCTACATTTAAGACAGCAGTATTTGTATTATTTTGGCTTTGGAAAATGCTACAAGTTCTGCCAAACACAGGAACTAGGAATAAATTTGCATTATTGTTGAAGTGAGAGATACCTGTGGCACTGATTTTTTTAAACGGGTCACAAGTGAATAGGAGCAAGGTTTTTCACTGGAAATGAAAGCACCTCCAGGCATAATTTGTGAGAAAACAAGATTAGAACTTGTGAGAAAACAGGACTAGAGATAATGCCTTTTTAAGGACATGGAGCCCAGTGTGTCCTGCTCCAATTTTGCCTCTGTTGAGGACAAAATATTCCAAGACAATCACATAAAAGACATGATTATAACATTCCCAGGAACACATCCAGGAAAGCTCTGAGCCTTCACAACTCTGCTACTTCACTTACACAGCAATGAATTTTTCCAAGGGATTTTGAAGTGACTTCCAAAATCTCTCAACAATTCTGAATTAACTGTCCTTGAACCCATCCTGACCCTCACCATAAGAATGGAATTCAGGAATTCCATGACTGTATCAGTTATAAACTCAGGTGCTGGATGGACTTTGCTATTTGACACGAAGACTCTCAGAACCAGTTCTCCTTACCTTAAAACCTTGTCAATTATATTCTCTGCAGACTAACACAGTTTTGCTAATTTTATGCCATGTTCTCAGAAGTGTTTAAAATAACTCTTTTGTTCCATAATAATAGGGAAACTGAAAGAAACTGTGAGAATGCAGAATGTAACTAAGGAGACTGAGCTACTCCTACTTTTTGCTCTGCTTGGCCCCACTGAGGATTTCTATTCAGTTTGCTTTTACTTATTTATTTTCTCTAATGAATGATCTTGATATTCTGCTACCTGGGTCCTTCCTCAGAAGGTAGCAGTGATGATTGTCATCCAATTGTTAAAGAAGTGGCAAATAACAGCAGGCTGGAACAGCTCTGAATCAGGTTTTAAAAAATAAAACAATGGTAAAAAAAAGGAGTTCTGAATAGATTCAGGACTGAAGCACAGCTGAAGTTTAGACGTTGTCTAAGCTTCCTTTAATTTTGGTGCAATGTCAGGAGAAATGAGAGTTCTGCTTTTCTTTAGGGACCAAATGGAGAACTTCAAACTAATTCAAAATCACGTGAGTGTCTCCTTGGCTCTCTCCAGGGTTCAAAGAATGCACTCTGCAGCCATCAAGGGATACAAAGGCAGACAAAATGTTATGGAATTTCTGGAATTCTGGAATATGAGGTGGAGTTTTGAGTCGGTCTATTAAAAACACTTACATGAGGTAACAAAGCAAGGAGGCAAAACATAATTATTTATTACTTCAGCAGTATTCTTATACTATTTGAGGAGTTTTGCCATTTTGAGAAGTGCTGATTTTTTGTAGGAAGCATAATTTATACCTGTTTGGTGACAGTTATTCTGACAGAGACCAGAAGCATCTTGATTTACCATAAGAATAATGCAATATTTTCAGTAAATTTTGATTATAACAATGGTATTTGTATGCAAAAATTAATTATTTTAAGAAGTGAAACTGCCCAAAGCTTCACCTAACCCTGGATGCTCCCTACAAAGGGGTTAATGTCAGCTGATTGAGAAAAAGGTGCAAGAAATTTTGCAATGGAGAACTATGGAGCAACCTTTCTACAGACAGGTTTTCTGTAGCTCTAACCCAGGACCAAAACTGTAACTTCAACCTGGACTAACAAAAAACCATTACAATTTGTTTTATTCATTATCGATACCATATCTTCAAGTATTCACAGGTATTTTCAGCTAAACTTTTAGTTATAACAATATTTTTGCAGTTTATAGAAACAGATAAACTTATGTCTGGTAAATCCACTTAAATCTGGTGATTTGCACATTCATCCACTGAACAGGGCAAACTATGGCAGTTCATGGATCCATGTGAAAAATTTGGATTAAAAATGAAAAAGAAATAATAAAAAAAAAAAACCCTAAAGATAATGCCTGTGCAGCAGCTTCCAGCACAGGATTATATGAGGACAGCAGAATAAACCACCTTGTTGCACACAGCAGTACGGGATTCTTCTGCCAGGTTTTAAAATGCAGCAAAACTGATTTGTCCAGGGAGATTTGCAAACCAAACCAAAACCCACCCAGCCCACCTGGAACAACCTCCCCTCTGTAAAGAACCATTTCCAAGCCTCAGGATCCCTCCCCATGACAGCAGTGTGCGTGTCCATCAATCAAACTTCTCACTGCAGAGTAAGATGCAGTTAAGTCACTGGAACAGAAACAGGAACTATTGCAACAGTTGTATTCTTACAAAAGAATAGGTGTGGTGAAAGCATTGGCTGTGTGTAAATGTGTTATAAACACTTCTGACTGATCCACTTTCCTTACCCAAATTCCATGGATTTGTAGACATGGCAGAGCACAGACCTGTGGACAGAAATTCCCTTTAGCTGTCATGAAACAGGGAATGCATAAAAATTAGAATGCAAGAAAAAAAAATAGAGAGTCCTAGGAGAGGATAAGATCTGAATGTATATTAAAAAAAAACCAAAAAAACAAAAAAACAAAAACCAAACCATGTTTATTTATTAGAATTGCACCACTGGTAAAAGCATGTAAAAGAAATCTAAAGAGGAAAAGCAGTATGATAACATATCTGTATGATAAGAATGTGCAATGGGAAAAAAGCATGCATTAGTTTAAAATTATATCATTTATAATTATGTAATTTATTATATAATTCACACTGCAACTGTTCTAGTCTAATAACAAAATCTCAATGCAGCTATTTTCTCAAAGAAGCAAAATGTGATTTACTATTTGCTATCAATCTCAGAATGTTATTTTTGTTCACTACACAGATTTTTTTGTATGATCCAGTGCTAGCTGAAAATTTTCCACAAAATCTCATAAGATTGAGAATTTTTCCTTTGTAAAACAAGGCCTTTTAAAAAATCTTTTCTGTATAGTACCTTTTTTGCCTAATGTATTTAGTGGTCATTCTTTTCCACATAAATGGGGTATTCCCACAAGGATATTTTAATCTCTGCTAAGTCTAAAAGCAATCTCTAACTAAAAAGAATTTTTTAAAAACCAACATGCAACTTGCCTACTATAAATCTCACTTAGATTTAATAACTAAAATATAGTGTGTAACTGCTTTTGAAATCTGTAGGCAACTTTGCAAATATCTAATAAACTTATGGTGTTTCTTAAGGACTTAGATTTAATCAGTATTTTCCAGCTGGGGATGCTGGATGAATCTCTAGCCTCAAGAACATTGACATCCCCATCTGCATACAATGTGGTTCCACAGATTTTAACAGGATAATTCCTGTCCACATTTCAGGGGTGGAACAGAACTTTCCCCATGGTTACTGGAAAGAATATTAGCAATTTGGGACATTAATTCAAGAATAATTTATTTTAGTGTCACTAAATTTCTTATTTTGTTATTTGTAAATCTCAAAGTGATGAATTAAAGCTTTAGTGCATCATAAAAGTTATTTAAAAACAAACATTTGATCATCATAAATCAAAGGCTTAACCACGCCAGGATCTAATAGTTTTTCATAACAGACAACCTGAATAATAGCCAATCCACTTTCCTACTGTTTAAATGGCAAACCTGCCCTTTCTTTTACTAATTAAAGGTAACCACACCTCCCTTCAGAAGGCATGACAGAAGGAACTGGTTTAAATTCTAGGGAAGCAAGAAAGTACTAGGGGAAGAGTTTGCAGAAGAAATATTGGCCTCATTAACCTTTTTTGTTTGTTTTTTGTTGTGTTTGTGAGGTTTTTGTGTGTTGTGGGGTCTTTTGTTTATTTTATTACAGTGTATTCATGCTGGATAGGTTTTAATTGAAAATTGGCTATAATGCTGCGGGTTGTTTTACTTTTATTATGAACCTATTTTGGTTGCCAAGTAATCTCACATTTTAGCAAGGTATAAACAAATATTTGGAAAAAAAACCAGATTTTGATCTGTGATAGGAAGAAAGTGATGCAATACTGTATCTCTACTTACTTTTCAATATTAATTAGGGTTTCAGTATGAGTTCTGGTGGGAAATTATTCCATTTTGGTAACATCTCTCCTGCCTGATTTACGTGAGGTCTGCAAGACAGAAATTGCAAATTTAATGCTTCCTTATTATTTTTTTCCTACTTTCTCTTTCATGCAAACCCTTCCAGTGCAATGATGGAGGCTGTGAGGAAAATATGAAAAGAATGCTCTGGAAACTTTGGCTGTGTGAGTACCTTTATAAGCCAAGCTGGGAAAAAAAAAAAAAAAAAAAAAAAAGAAGTTCTAAGTACAGAATTGCTATTTGTCAAGTTCCTGAGGGAAACAACACAGAATCACAGATTTGTGAGGGTTGGAAGGGCTCTCTGGAGATCACCCTGGCCAAGGCATGGTCACCTGGAGCAGATTAAATAGGAAGAGTGTCCAGGTAGGTTTGGGGTGGCTCCAGAAAGGGGGACTCCATGCCCAGCTGCTCCCTGCCACCCTCATGGAAAGAAGCTCTTCCTCATGCTGAGGAGGAACTTCTGGTTTAGTTTACAGCCATTGCTCCTCGTCCTGTGGCTGGGCACCGCTGACGAGTCTGGCACTATGCCCTGACATCCCTTGGAGATATTTTTATTCATTAACGAGATCCCTCCTCAGTCTTCCCTTCCCAGACTAACCAGGCCCAGCTCCCGCAGTCTCTCCTATATGAAGATATTTATTGCTTGCCAGCCTCTTGTGAGCAGCATTTAAGGCCTGTGGCCCTTCCCGCTCGGCAGCCCGGAGCGCTCCCATTTAACGTGATGTGGAGGCTCTGCCTCTCCCAGCCCTCAGCTTAAACGCCATTTGTGGGTTCACTCTCGTGTCTTTTTGTTCCCATCCGGCTGTTTCGGACTTGTTTTGGGACGGCCGCGGGGCCCCTCACGCCGCCCGCCCTCGCCCTTTGTTCGCTGAGGGGAGGGAGCGCGCGGGAGCGCGGGCGGGAGGCGGGGAGCGCGCGGCCGCCGCCCGCGTAAGGGGCCGAAGGGCGTTGCCCGCGCGGGAGCGCGCACCGCGAGGCGCCCGGGAGCGCGCACCGCCCGCCCTCCCTCCCGGCCGCGCTGGGCGGGTGCCCGGTGGAGGCGGCGGAGCCTCCGGTGAGGCTCGCGGCGGCCGGGGCGGCGGAGCCTCCGGTGAGGGGCGGCGGGGAGCGGCGGGGCCGCGCGGGGCCGGGGCGGGGTGGGAGCCGAGCCGGGGTTTCCCGGGCGGGCAGCACGGGCGGGGCGGAGGGAGGAGGGGAAGGAGGGAGGTTCGCCGCGCCCAGGCTGCCGCTGCCCGATGGCTGCGGGGAGCCGAGCGGGCTAAGGAGGAGTCGAGACCCAGCGACACCCCCTCCCCCGCGGATCCCTCCTTCCCGCTCGGCGCTGCCGCCTTCCCCGGGACCCGCCGGGGCGCATCGCGGGCGGCTCCCCCGCTCCTCCTCCGCCGCCTCCTCCTCCTCCTCCGCCCCCCTTCCCTCCCCAGGCCGGCGGGACGCGGGCAGGACCGCGGGCGGCGGACGGACCGGCCCGGTTCATGAGCAGCGGCCGGGAGGGCAGGTAACCGTGTGAGGGGTGCGGGGAGGGCGGGGGTCCCTCAGAACGCGTTTCCCGCCCGCCGAGCCCCGGCCGGCCCCACCCCGGGGCCATCTTCCCTCGGCTCCCCCTCAGCCCCGCTCCTTCCCCTCCCCCGCGCTTCCTCCTCCTGCAGCACTTCTCCTTTCCCTCTCCTTTCCTGCCTCGTCCTCCCCTTCCGCCGCCGCACCGGGGGCCCCCCGGGCCGCCGCCTGCTCATCGCCCCCGTTCTCGGCGACCCTCGGTATGGCGGGGTTGGAAATAGCCCCCCTCCCCCGCGCTTCCCACCTCCTCGGGGCTCCAGCTTCCCCTAAAAAAGAAGTGTGTTTGTAGCTGGAGGAGGAGGGGAAAAAGGTGGGGGTGGGACTGATTCCCTCTCGAAGGCTTCCAGGCGAAAAGGGAGGAGACCTCGGATATTGCGGGGTTCCATTTTTAATTATAATTACGCTGTAGTGGTCCCTGCTAGACGGTCTTGGGGTCTTGTCTTAAGCCACAAAAGGCGAGTTCCCGAGCGATCCAGCCGGCAGAGGGAATATTTGGAGAGAGATTCGAAGGGGAGGAGGAAAAGAAAAAAAAAAAAAAAAAAGCAATGGTGTGGCTGCTGTAATGGTGGAAAACTGATTAAGAGGAGCCGGGGGTGAGACAAACAGGGTAAGGCTGCTTCCAGCACCCCCAGCCAGCCGAGGGCTCGCAGATGGGGCTCATGCTGGGTGTGCTGGGCGAGGGAGGGGTAGGGAAGGTTTTGTTCTCGTTAGAACCGGAACCGAGGATGGATTCAAACCGCATATTTGTTCCCCCATGTATTACGGTGCTGCATATTTTTGTGTGCCCGTAGCAGCGATAACGAAGATCATGGAGGGTGTTTGCTACAACAGAAAGATGGAGTTTTCTCCTTGGAAATGTTGTTTAAAATATTGCTTAAATTCTGAGCTTTTTATCGAAAGGATTTCAGCATTATTTTTTTTTTATCCGTGCAAGGGATATTGAACGTGTAGGGTTTTTAATCCTACAGCTTTGCAGGGAACGAAGATGTATAAAGCCTTGCATGTAAATATGAAAGAGATGAGGCGTTTTATTAACAAAAAAATCTTGTCTAGAAGAAAATCAGAATGATGTAGAGGTTGTTATAAGATGTCAATTTATCATTCCTGAAGATGAACTGAAATTTTAACGAATGTGCTATTTCATTATTCTCTAACAAAGTCACGGCTGGGACTCGTTTTAAACCAGGCATCCTTTCTAGGATGTGCAGACTGCCACGTTATTATGTATTGTCTCCACAGGAGGAAATAGGAGGAAAGCACTGTAAACGTAAGGCTTAAGTGATTATTGAAACAGCGTTTGAGAATAGTTGGCTCAACTTGGGGAGGCGATTTAAGACTGAAAAATTAAACGTTTTGCTGCTGTAGGATATCTGCACCTAATCATGAGACATTTATCCCATATTTTAAGCTGATGTGGATACGAGAATGTGAATCAAGAGAAAATGCTGTCGATACATACGAGAATACGAAGATGATGTGTTAATACCTAAATCCATCCCTAAATGTGATAGATCAGAGTTTATTTCTCTCCCTTGTGCTTGAGGAGAGGAGAAGGAGAAGGGGTGATAATAGTGTAGTTGTTTTGGTGGCTGCAGATTAGCCAGGGTGTCTGTTTGATTTTCTTTTTGCTGTGAATGAATGGATCTCTCTGTGCCTGGGCCCAGTAGCTGCAACAAGATGGCGTTTGCAGCAAGGCAGCTCTCATTTTTCAACTCCTCCTCACCCCAGCTTTGCCAAACTAGATCTTATTTCGTAATTGTGTTTTAGATTTACTTTCTCATTCTCTTTGCTTTCTTCTGTTCTGGGGTGGGGGTAGGAGGAGCATTTGGAAGATTGCTGTGAGAAATCTGTGGGTTTTTTTTTTTTTCTTAATTTTTGTGAGCTCCTCCAGATAGCAACCAGGTGGGAGGAGTAAATAGTTTTATTGAAATGTTCATATAGGCTCTTAACTGAATAAGGGGGTGACACAATTTTCATTTTTACCTTGCAGTGCCTGCTTAACACCACCAAAATGTCCCTAGTTTTTATTAAGCCTGTTGCTAAAAACCAGTTTTTAAACGTAGAGCACAGGTACACAAAGGCTGCTGGGCCGTGGGTCTGCTGGCCAGGTAATCCTCAGATCAGAGCATGTGCAGACAGGTGCCTTTCTGTGACACAAAAGTCTCCTGTCTGCTTCAGAACACTCACAATTTGTGCAGGGTTTAATGCTGCTGCTGACCCAGAATTACTGCCATCCTCTGGATAACTGTTCTTTTAATGGGCAAGAATAAGAAAGGCTTGAGGGGGTGTTAAAACAGCTCTGTGTCTGAGTAGTCTGTTTCAAAACAGCACTGCAAATTTCTAAAGCCTTTTACATGTGGTTTTTAGTATCTTCCGAGAAAAATGGACTTTAGATTTGTAACTCCTGTGATATTTCACCGTAGTGCCAAACACCTTAACTTTGGTAGCCTAAATAAAATAGCTTGGTTAATATTTGATACACTGGACTCGGGCTTAAAACAATGCACTTCCCAGCAAGAAAAATAAGAAAAGCTTGTTATGTCTCCTGTATTCAAGTGACCTCCAAACCTTTGATATTATCAAACATTTTACTACTGTTTATCTATTACTTAATGTATAATCAGTTGTTTGTTAGTTTATTGTAGTAACCCAGCTGTAGCTCATGCATAAGGAAGCTGGGAACAGCAGAGCTCATTTTCAGTTGAGGCTTGCAGTGCTGGTGCTTTTCTTAATTAAAAAAAAAAAAAAAAAAAAAAGCTGAAATTAGTGAAATTAGCAGAGTGCACTTTACTCCTCTGGTGCTTCAAGAACATTTTTAAAATTAAGAATACTGCCCAATAAACTATTAGTTCCATTGATGTTAATGTCCTGTTAAACCTGAAATTACTTGTGCATTTTTTTTGTTACTACTACTTTGGCCTTTAGTACAGGATCAGAAAGGAGCAGAGTGAAGTGAGATTCTGTTTTGGGTAAGATAAATTACATTTATCCTTGTTGAGTCCTTGCAGCTGCTAAGTCAGTACGTAGCAGGCATCCTAGCATGAAATTTTTGACAACGTGGTAAATTAAAATTCCACAGGAAATCTTAGCAGTACAGTTTTTTAAATCACCTCCGTGCCTCATGGAAATTTGGAGATGCTGTATTTGGACTTAATGAGAATTCTTCTGTAAGTAATCAATGAAGTTCTGTATTATCAGGGAGTGGATAGAATTTTGTGTGGCATTATTTTAATAATCATCCCAGAAGAAACCCTTCACAGCTATTAAAAATTTTAAAGCTTGAACCATTAAACTAGTTTACTTAAAATAAGAAAACCCTTCAACTAATGCAATTCCAAGGCCCTTTAATTATAGTAGAAATATAGATTGTGTTTGTAGGATGCCTTTTCCTGAAATGAAGCAAGATGTTGGCTGCACTGTGTAACTTCCTGGTGCTTTGGAGGCTTCGATTTGGTCATGTGGAAAACAACTAAACTGCTTCTTAAATAGTAACTTAGTTATGATTTCTCAATCCCTGTGAAACCAGATGCCAATTCATCTGAAACTTTTGTTGTTTTTGTAGATTCCTACCAGGCCTGGAGCTGTGGTTGGGGATGTTAAGCAAGTGTTGGGTTCAGCTGGTTTTGTAGTTACTGCAATAAAAAATTGGAGTTGTTTGCGCTCTGTGAAACCAGCAGTAGATTCGTCTCCTCTACGCCGGGCTCAGCTCATGTTCTAGGCACTGAATTGGATTAAATTCTTACTGTCCATGGATTTTGGCTCTCAGCATTAGTGGATTGGTAATTGATATTCTCAATTTTAATATCCAGTTTTAGCCATATGGCACACCGTATTGTCTCAGCAATTGCATTTAGCGCTGCTTTGTTATGAGCAAGTCGAAATGGGAAATTGGGCATTCCAGTTGTTGAATTACCTTTAGGTGAGTTGTCCTTGGAGTCTCTGATGCCTGTGGTCATGGCAAAATTTTAGATGTGGTCTTTTTTTAACATGATTTTACTGGTTATGTGGCCAAAAAAAAAAAAAAAGATAACCTTGAA